ATGAGGCGCGAGAGAGAGAGATTGCTAAAGTGACTATTGAACCAAGTTGTATGGAATCTGCTGAGATTTTGTGTACTTTTACCCTTGGTTCTAAAAAACACAAGCCTTATGCAGCTTTTGCCTTGTAAGGAATTCTTTCAAAAATAAAATCTTGCCAAGGGTCCACAGGGCCAGAATAGCAATTTAAAGCTTGTGTCATTTCCTGGTTTTAGATTTACTCAGCCAGCCACTAGATGGAGCTGTTGTTTGACTAACTCTGCCTCTACTGTGCCTATATGCTTTTCCTTTGTCCACACCCCTCTCAGTGCACTCGCTTCTTGACATCCTCCTCTCTGAGCTCTGCAGTGCTGCCTATAGCATCATTATCATTTCTCCAGCATGAACTTCAAACACTAGGTGCTGTTTTTCCTGGTTAACTGAAGCTATTGTCCAAAAAGAGATTTGAAATCCATGAGTTTGTAATTTTAGATGTTGTTTTTTTACAACTCAGAATTACATTTGTTGCTATTTCCTGTACAGTGAGCAAATCCATTTTTTTTTACTAATATGTAATACCAAATAAAGTGGTCTGTCAGTGGTAGAAAGCTTTTCAGGGATTTTTCTAAAGCCCAAACCAAGTTTGATTTTAGGTTGAACATGGTAAAACTTTCCTATTTACACTTTTTATTTTTTACATGTGGTGACCAAGGCTCAACAGTCCCCTTAGCCCACAAGCACAACATTTTGTATTGAATATTTTCTTCTTATTCCTATTGTGCTACCGTCCTTCAGATAAATACAATTTTAGTTTTTCCAAAATATGTGGGTGGTTATTCTTTGAAGTATGTGAATGAGTGGATTCAGATAAAATCTTCTATGTTGGGTGGTAAGTAGGGATGAGCACCTACTTTAATTAAAATATGTATATACAACTTATAAATGTATTTGTATAGAAAAATCTTCAATAACTTGTACAAGTTTGCATGAGGGTGCATTAGTCTGTCGTATTTTACCTTTGATATGATTTTATATTTTGTCTACTGATGTAAATATATCAACAAGCTAATTATCATTTATGGATTCAGTACAGGCCTCCAGTTTACTCCAAAGTAGCATATGGGCTGACTGGCTTCACAGTCACATTTAATCCCATAAATCTGTTGCTCTCCACATCATGAGCAACATTTCATCCTACGTAAGTCTGTGTTTTATTGCACTGGCTGTATGTAACCTTTTAATCGCTTTGTAAATAACCTTATTAAAGCTTGTGTTGGGGTATGATTATAAATGCTACTATGGCGTATAACAGATTGTAAAATGTTGCCATCAGGTGGCTTCATGCTTTATTAAAATGTGATTTTTCAAGTTTTCCCGTCACTGTCAGACATGGCTGACGGGATGATAGGTTAACATATGGCAGTTGACAGGTTTCTACTAATTTTCTTTTTAAATTGCTAGTGTTTCATTGCTCGTGGGAGCGTCTGGTTTGCAGGCTCAATGTGTGAGAACTAGATTACTGATAATGTCATCATCTCGGGATATGCTGGAGTTATTTTCATCTCATGCTTGACCTTGGGGACCTGAAGAACATCTCTCCAAATGTGAACACTTTTATCAAGGCTGCTTATAAAAAAATTAAACCTTGTTTTGCTCTTATTTCTGCTATAATTCAACCCTTTCTCTTCTCTCTTTTCCTCCTGAAACAACGTTGTTAATAGCATTATTACTAATAGAAATGGAAAGCAAGAAGTTCAAATCTCAACACAGAGAAATGTTTGGTTATTGCCGTACTTGCATGAAAAAATATGCCACATGTAAAAGGTAGCTTTGTTTTGATCTTGTTAGGCATGTATTCACAACACATGGCACTTTTGTATTCTTCATTCAGTTAAAAGCTTATTAGCTGTTGTAAGAAATCCATCGTTATCAATATCTTTGTGGCACATCGAGGCAATCTTTGAAGGTAAAGTACACTTTGCTGCTCAGTTTGTTTGCACTCGTGTCTCTACAGCTGTAGTGGTGCAGCCCGGGGAACCTCTGCAGTATCTTTGGCAGTGTGTGAGTAATGGAGCAGGAAGAGAGTCTCTTAACAGGGCCAGCAGAATAATTATGAGTCGAGCTGAGAGGCTGTTCCTGGGCAACGGGGAGCTTGTGAGCTTCATTGGGAATGGCCTGTCCTCTTGGACCTGTGCCCGACTGATGGGAGCCGTCTGTAAGGTGAGGGTGAGGGTGGGGCGTGCAGTAATATTACAGAGGTACTCGTGTTTAAGGACAACTGCGCTTTGCTTTGGCTAAATGGGAATGGGAATTACAACAATAGTAAAGTATCTCATATCAGTTTAAGGAACTGTGTAGTCCTGCTCTGCAAGGAATAGTGGATCGAAAGAAAATAGTCTCTAAACATTTTGATATTTTTGTTTAAATGTTTATTTTGTTTTTTAATCCTTTCTAATATTGGCATTTCCTGCTTAAGTCATTTGATTCTATTGTGTTAAACCGCTTGGGTTTTGGACTTTGAGAAACTGGGATTTACATTTTTCACAGTTTTTACCTTTTTATTGACCAAATTAGGCATTTAGTCCCGTAAATAATTGAAAGATTAGTACGATTGTTAAATGGGGGCTGCACTGGCTCCATACATAGGGCCTGGGCTTGGGAACAAGATGGTCACCGAATAGACACTGATTTAAGTGCTGGAGAGGTGCTAGTTCACTTCCTGGGCACTGCTGAGGTCTCTAGAGCAAGGCACCGAACCCCTATCTGCTGGGGGCACTTAACCATGACAACCCAATGTGTAAAACAACAGAGTGATAACTTAATATCCCCTGGAGGGATTAAGAAAGTATATCTTCTTCTTCTATTGGATCCCCTTGTGTAGTCAATGCTTCAAATACTGCATGGTGGGTGATTCTGAAAAAAAAATGCAATGTGCTCTTGTCAACAAAATCGTGCCAACACAAGGCCTGGTTAATTAACCTCATTAGTTTGAGTGAAAAGTCAGCACTATAGACCTCAGTAAATTATGCAGATGAGTGTCATATTAATGGGAAACACGGTGCATGTGTTGAAAGTGAACATGTCTCCAGAGGCATGTTTGCCCTAGTAGGCATCATTGGGCTGGCAGAGCAGATAATTGATGAGGAGCTTCATGTGTCCCCTGCTGCTTACAGGGGCAACTGGAGCATGACCAACACTGATCTTCATATTTGAGGGTATACAAAAGGTGATATAGAAAGATTATATGGAATACATTCTTTCTCCTCACATTGTTCTTTTGAGGATAAATTCCTTTTACCACTGTGACTAAGGCATTTGTACCGAGTGACATATTTACAGTTAGGAAATAGGAGATATCTAATTGCAATGCGAAACTGATTCTCAATTAGGGCTGAATGATTAATTTAATTTAAATCGAAATCTCGATTTGAAATGATGCAATTATCAACTTGCAAAGCCTGCAAATTTTTTTTTTTTGGTTTTGTTCTTCTTGTGTGTCAGTCATCCACACCAATCAGAAGTGCTGTGCTCCACATGTACCAGTCATTGTTAACCAATCAGAAGTGGCCCATGATAGAAGGTGATAAGACAGATTGATCCAATCACCTGCCAAGTATTTTTGAAATACTTTTCCAAATGGCTTCCAATGGAGCTTTCCTAGATGGTTTGGTGAAACAAACCATCTGAGTCAGGTTGGTGATGCTCCATCACATGTGTTACATCTATTACAGGGTGAATCTGAAACTGAAGCTTGACTTTAAAGCAACCCAACGGAAGTTTCATGTAAGTTTTAGTTCTTTCAATTGCGGGGTGCCTAGACGACGGAGCACGTCTGATACGACCTTCCTAGCCGGGATATGCCGCTTTACAAAAAACTTCCGTTGGCGCTAAAAACAAATATCGCAAATCGGAATCGCAATATCTGTCAGAACAAATGCAATTAAATTTTTTTTCCCCCATCGTCAGCCCTATTCTCATGCAAACACACTTATTTATTGCTAAAAGTCGCTTTCAATATCAATTATTCTGTGAACTTATTGTTCATCAAAATTTCGGACGGTGCCGTAATTGTGGCGCTTGCATTGTGTTTTGTTTTTGAGAAAGAGAGGGAGAAACATAATGCTTAACGTCGTTTTTAAAAGTTATTACAACTTATTTTTAACCATAATTTGTCACATGCCCACCCGAACCCGTGATATTTTCTATCAAGTTTTCCTTAGGCCGCACTTCTTTGCAGCCATAATGGAAATCAAATTCGACAAATAGTTTAATATCCTTTTAATATTGTTAGTGCGTGTAGCCTTACCTGTATGGGCACATTAAAGACATTGAAACATGTTAAAGTGGTAATGGAGAATTTGAAATGTCACTTATTACTGACGCTTTGAAGTATTCAGGACAGCTCTACTACACACCTGGTACTACATTAGATATCCTGGAAATACTATTCTCCAGGTTTTTCACTTTAACTTTTGATGGCAGGCTCTTTGTGCAGCACCTATTTATTCTGGCATACAGTATGTTGCACAGTTGGCTGGTATACACAGTCTTTGGTTGACTTCACTTTCTATTCTGCCAATATTTTTGTCTGACTTTGGGTTGAACTCCACTCCCTCTACCTGTCTCCCACAGTGAACATCCTGAATCCTGGACGTACTTCTGATCAGATGCATCTCATTACTCTACTTCCTGGCAGCCCTGCATTGAGCCATCTCTAGTCTTGTTTACCGCATCCGTCGCACTCCCTCATCTTCCAATCCCGCCACCCAGTCCTTCTGTCAGTCGCTTAACCCTCAGCCCACACCAAGAACCGCTCGTCTCGCCTGCTGCTATCTGTCCACTTTCCTCTTTCTCGCTGCTTCTCCAACTCCTTCTACTTCCCCTCAGCTTCAACCCTCTAATCACAATAATGCAGCGCCAATGCTGGACTGACTCAAAAGCAACCTAGCATCAGGGCTCAGTGACTCCAGATCTTTCTTTGTTCAGTCCAGACAAAATCAATTACTCCTCCAACTCTGAAGTCGGCCATACAGCATCGTCCTCCTGACACTTGCTTCCAAATGCACTATTGTAGAATCGATTGAGGTGGATAGAAAGAATGAAAAACACTATCAAAGTCAAGTAGAAAGAAAGACTTCTGTGTTTGATCCTATATATATTTATATATTTGTGTACATCTGATTAAATATTTTATACTCTGTTTTACATCCTTGTCTGTGCAGAAACTGTACGTGGAGAAAAAAACTTGTTTTGTTGTTGCTTTTCTGTAGATTTCCAGATCAAAGCAGCCCTTCTCTCCCCAGGCGGGTCCTTGTCACTCAGCAATAACTTGGACTCACCTGCCTGCCATGCCCTGTCTTTGACATTATACCGTGGATCCCACTTCCTGGAATGGAGCCAGAGGAGAAAAAAGTCAGTCATTTCAACACCCGCTCTCTCACTCTCACCAAAGCTGGCACTAATCAGATTTAGCCAGGGCTTGAGGATTGAGTTTTTGTGTGTGTGACTGCAATGTCATCAGCCCAGATTTGGAGCAGTAAAACCATCACTGTATTGGAAAGAGTGGTAATTGTATTTAGAAAGCAGGATCCTTTGGGGAATCGTAATTCAGCTTATGATTTGCGTCATTTTCCACTCCACAGTTTCACTGCATTTATTGCACATTTGCACAGGTCCATTAACTGAGCTGACGATTATTATATTACCAAGGATATATAACTGCACAACTCAATTGCTACAGATACTAACTTTACACTGCATAACGAGGTTCCATTAATTTTTAATAGCTTGAAGAATTTGCCTGAAGATAATAGTAAACGTATCCCACCTGATAATGCACCTTTGTGAACAATAGGACTAAATGTCGCCTTACAGTTCAGTGATTTGTGGATAGGACTTTGCTAATAGTCAGCATTGTAGATGATCTGCTTATTAAACATGACTTGGAGATCTCCCCCTAGATTGAGAAATGATTGGTGCAGTGTTATTTGTGCGGGAGAAGGGGACCTGAGTTGTGCATCCTACGATATCAATCTTTGATTACGCAGCTGCCTGAAGATGGCTCTGTATTTTCCGCCTCCACTTCCTCCCTTGACTCAAATATAGATTGGCTCCTCGAGTCTCCTCTTGGATGTATCTGGATATGTTTCTGCCTCTGTCTTCACTTTTTGTTTCGTGGTGTGTCAGCTTTTCATACGTGAAGCCGGTTGTCTTACACAGCAGCTCGGAGCTCCCGGCCTGACAGAGTGTCAGCGGGGGCTTGTGTCACATTATTGTAAGAGAAAATCTAAGTCGGGAATATATTTTCTATATCCAAGTTATTGAAAAGACATCGAAGTAAGGCGTATTCAATACAAGCTCGTATGAAACTAGTAAAGGAGAAAACACTAACTTTAATTTAGAAGGAACATACTGACAGTTACCAAGGAAAACACATTTTATATTATCATTCAGAGCAGGGGTGGGGACCCTTTTTTTCTCTCAAGGGCCATTTCAATTTTTTCAACATCCTCCGAGGGCCGTACAAATGATTTACCTCTGCTTAAAAATACTACAATCAATCACAGCCGATTCATTTGGCCTTTCTTTCATGCTGTGCAAAGAAAAAGCAACCTCTTAATCCAGATATTTTACCATGACTCGCGCATGCATGGTGCACGGTTGTGGCATGACCACCAAAACAGAAAGATATGGACAAAAGATGTGTGTGAATGTATTTAGTTTCCTATCCATCTGAACATGATTTAAGTGGGGGGGGGACCTAACCTCCTCTACGGGGGTCCGGGGGCATGCTCCCTTTTAAATGTTGAAGTTAAAAG